TCAAATTTAATTCCCTTCTCAACTTATACCCACCTTGTCTTTCTGCAAACAGTTTTTGAATATTTCCAGGCAGTATTTTTTTATTTACTTTGTACATAAATAATGCAGTCTTAAATTCAATAAAATCTTTGAACTTTAAGGTTTGTAATTTTATAAAGAAGCTATTTGTGTGTTCATTATATCCCTCATGACTGACCAACCTTATGGCTCGTTTTTGTAATGTACAAAGTGAATATAGGGTGGTTTTATAGATGTTTCCCCACACTTCAACGCAGTAAGTTAGGTATGGCACTATCAGTGTGCAGTGCAGTGTATACAATGCCTGTCAATTCACAACATGTCTTGCTTTCCCCAACATCTCAATACTCCGTGTTACCTTTCCTTTAACACATTTTATGTGAGGTTTCCAACATAATTTGTGATCAAGGATTACACCCAGAAATGTATTTTCATACACTGTTTCTATAATAATATCATTTACAGTTATTGCCATATGTATGTTTATTTTAAGATTTCCAAACAACATAACTTTAGTTTTGTTCAAGTTTAATGATAATCTATTCAAATCAAACCATAGTTGCAGTTTGGCCAGTTCTGTTGAAACCAATCAAAGATCTTGCAAATTCTCTCCCGAAGTAAAAAAAAAAAAAAGTATCATCTGCAAATAAAACACATGTTAATGCTCTGGAAACCTCACACAAATCATTAATATATCAAACAAATATAGCTTTGGACCCAAAACTGACCCCTGTGGCACACCACAATTGAAACTAAGCAGTTCTGACTTATAATTATTCATTTGTACAAATTGATTTCTATTGGTTAAATAACTTCTAACCCAACTGAGAACGACTCCCCTAAAACCATATTTTTTAAGTTTATTAATTTATACTGTATGATCAATTGTACATGGGGTCACGTATACATACATACATACATACATATATATATATATATATATATATAGTTCAAATAGAAAATTGTTACAACACCACAGCCTACCTGAGTATTGTTGCTGACCATGTCCATCCCTTTAGGACCACAGTGTACCCATCCTCTGATGGCTACTTCCAGCAGGATAATGCACCACATCATAAAGCTCCAATCATCTCAAACTAGTTTCTTGAACATGATATTGGGTTCAGTGTACTCAGATGGCCTCCACAGTCACCAGATCTCAGTCAAATAGAGCACCTTTGTGATGTGATGGAATGGGAGATTGGCATCATGGATGCAGCCGACCAATCCGTAGCAACTACAGGACGCTATCATGTCAATATAGACCAAAATCTCTGAGAAATGTTTTCAGTACCTTGTTAAAAGTCCGTCTGTCTGTCTGTCTCTAACTTGGGACTGTCTAAGTTAATGAAATATTATCACATTGATATATCAAATAATTAATGCTGGCAAATGTTTTCTCACATGTTAACACATTTTTATATTTCTTTTATCTTTTAAAAGTCCGTTCTGGACAATGCTTGTTATTATGTCGTACTAGCTATTCCTCTGCTCGTACGTAGCTCATAAAATCAATTGAGACATGAAATACATCATAGTATTTATGATCTGTATTTAATCTGCGATAAAAAATTATTTTCAATTGTAAAAGTTTAATTTTGTGTGGACAAAACTCATCCTAATATTATTGCACTCAGCTTTTTTTCTTGATCAATCATAAAAACATTTAAAAAAAAGATCAAATTAAACTCGAACCAGGTTGAAACATTTGAAAGTCTCTTTGTTAAAGAACTGAATTGCTCTAGACGCTGTTTGTCACCAAAGTAAAATGGCCAGTAATTGACATAGCACCCTCTATAGGTTTTCTACAACCTCCCAAGGTGCACATAATTAAACAACAGCTGAATAGTTTTGCTTTAGTCACTGGAAATCCATCTTTTTCAGGTTTCTGGATATTCAGACATTTCCAAAATATATCAATTCATTTTCTACTTTTTACATTCAATCCCATCATACTCTCGTTACACACTCGGTCTTTTTTGTTAATGCATAGTAAAAACAAATAATGATAAAACCCAAACAAATCACATGAACCAGAGCTTTACATTAATGTTAAAAGTGTTTTTATTTTTTAGTCTTTCTGCCTGCTGCTCATTCATGTAACGTCTCTGTCCTTACTCTCTCTGAATCCCTCGTCCTGCTGCACTGGTGCTCATATTGCTGCGTAATCCTCTCAAAAAGCCCATATGAAAACTTCATTGGTTGACCAGACATAATCCTCAGTGAACTCTAAGTACCTGAATATGTTTGATTGTAAGAGAGGGAAGCGGATGAAAAAAAGAAAAAACAAGTGCTCTCCTGCCAGACATTTGGATTCAAGCACAAGATAATCCATCAGTCATTTGATGTAAAATCTTAAGCCTGTGTGCTTTAAATACATAATCTGTGGACATAATCTATGACGACACATTAATATTAGCTTCTAATAATCTGTTTAAAAGTAGATTTTTATTAAATGTTCTGTTATTTTTGATTATCTCATCAGTCAGAGGTCTTCAAATATTTCACAAGACTGAATTTTATCTCCATTTATTGCATTTGCCTACAAGAAATCGTTGAAGTAGTCCTCACTGATTTCTTGGTAGGAGAGCGGGGCTTTTTTAAAACTTAAAAACAAAGTAAAAAATTCTTCATGTGTGTTTTAGTTGAATTTCTAGCATAAAGTTCATTAGGTTGCTGATCGTGGCCAGCAGCAGTTCAGGATGTGGGGTCAACGTAACACCTCCCAACATCTGACAGCTCCACACGTCTGGTAAGCATCAGTCGCTCAGAACGAAACATCTGGGGAGGAAAGTTGTCAGATTTGGTATTCAACCAATTGCAAAGCCCCTCAAAAACAATGAATGATGTCTTTTTCATGTAACCCTTCCACTGTTATATCAGGTGACCCCACCAGGACAGGGGGGTGGTTAAGTATGGTTGATAGTTTATGTCTTAGCAACGGTGAAGTCGTGCATTCCAAAAAATAAAAAATAAATAAAAAATAATAGATAAATAAAAAGCACCTGGGGCCTATCTGATCTCATTGCCTATACGGGAAGGTTAAAATAAATTGTAACCGATGTTTGTATAATTGCAATACTTTATTAATGTTCACAACAGGACATTAGTTGGTTCCAACATTTAATTGGCAATAATAACTCTAGAAAAATCCTCTGTACATTTAATTACAGTAAACAGGATCAAAAGCACATATTCGACATTATGTGAAGATTTGAGAGAATTCAAATGTTTTACAGGTTGAGAGGAAGTGTCAGTGTGGGCTGATTAGTTTGTGCTTTTTTATGAACAGGTTTCCAAAACAAAAGCAGAAATTTCATTTCATTATTTGATGTGTTTCCCAAAGTGTCCATAAGTCACACCAATCTACTTCCGGACCATGGGTCCACGGAAGAACGACAAAATGAATGCAAGTCCGTGGGTCTAAAAACGCAATTTTCTAATCTTATTTAATTGTTGTGTGCCATAGATTTCACATGATGTTTGTGAAGTTTAAAGACACATTTTAACACCAAGAACATGCTTCATTTCAAAAAGGGTGGATTGTTATTTTAAGTTTTGTGTAAAAATAAAACCAGGACTACAAATGGGCTTCACCAAAGTTTCGTCACCGAACCAGACACGGAGAAAAACAGAAGGAAAATGGCTGCAAGTTCATCAAACTTCAAATTCTTCCTTCAAGAGGAAAGATCCACCATAAATCTGCCATGTGGTAAGTAGCAGCTACGCTGTTCTGTGGTGACGTCATGTATGCGACGTGCCGACATCTGATTTGTAGTCATTGCTACTTGCAAACTTTGACAAACTGATAAATCTCAATGTACGTGACTGGCATGGTCGAAACACAGATCATTATTTTGTTAAGAACGGCATGTGGAGGAGACGCCCTGGGTTCACACTGAGAGCACCGGCGGGGTTACAAAAGTCAGGTTTTGGCATTTGTCACTTTAGATCCATAAGAATGGACGGCATGAATCTTTAAACTGGTAAAGAATTTAGATTGTAGAAAATCTAACAGCTGAATCTTGTTTAATGTTGTTGGACAAAACACATAAAACATAATCTGCAAAGTCACCGTTTACGAAGAAAAGTTGTTCTGCAAAATCCTGAGGAAACATTTATTATCATTTTTTTTACTGATTTTGAAAAACAGTACAAACAAGACTGAGCTACCATGCACATAAAGGATATCGGTGTAGTTCAGATCATTAAAGAACATGTATTATTTGAGTTTTTTATGTTAAGTGTTCAAACTTCTGTCATTATGTTACAAATGTGAGCTTGAGAAGCATTTCCAGTTAATCTATAGCTGCAAACTAATCTCCAACTTGTCATGAGGACTGCAGACTCACAAATGGGGCCTTTGTTTGGAGGATTATTGTAATTTTACTCAGAACGCAGATCACTCTAAAAGTATTAAGATATGTGACTTGTGCACTTTCACATCTCAGTGGCCAGAAGTAATACCAGAATGCTTCCTACGCTGTCCTCATGGCTGGCATTTCAACCAGAGGTTAGTTTTGATGAAAAAAAAAAGAAAAAAAGAATTGCACTAGAGATAAGATAAAGCGGAACTTCTTGTTTTCCAGTGTCACGATTAAATTGACAGAAATGTCACAAAATACTTCAAAAAACCTGCATAATTTGGTTTTAAGTTCCACATTTTAGATGCTTATTTGGAAAGGAGTCATGACATTTCTTTTTTTAAATAATGCAAAAAAAAAGTCACGATTGTACAATAAAAAAGTGACATTATTACTCAAAATAATACAAAGAAAGCACATTAGTTACAGGGAAAAAGCCACATCCAGTGTTTTGCTGTATTGACCATCTAATTCAGTCAATTCTCTAGCAGCAAATTACCCTAATGCTGTAAAACACAACTGCAAAGGCTACATGAGAGCAAGCAGGTGCACGCACGAGGTCCACAGTTCTCATTGCTCAAGACACAAGACGTGTACGAAGGCTCACAGACAAAAACATCAAGCTGAATAAATTATGTTTATTTGGACTTATTGTCTGTTTGAGGCACATTGATCTTTTCCCCAGTGAGAAGCTGCCAAATGCCTCCTCTGTAGTTCTCGTTTCCCAGAGCATACAGGAGCGGGTTGAAGGTGGGAGAAGTCTTAGCCAGGATGGGGGCGATCTGTCGGCGCAAAAATACACCTGAGAACAGTTCAAATACAGGTGCTGGCCAGTAAATTAGAATAGCATCAAAAGGTTGACAATATTTCAGTAATTCCATTCAAAACGTGAAACTTGTACATTATATTCATGCAATGCACACAGACCAATGTATTTCCAATGTTCATTACATTTAAATTTGATATTCATAAGTGACAACTAATGAAAACTCCAAATTTGGTATCTCAAAAAATTAGAATATTCTGAAAAGGCTGAATATAGAAGACACCTGCTGCCACTCTAATCAGCTGATTTACTCAAAACACCTGCAAAGGCCTTTAAAAGGTCCCTCAGTCTTGTTTTGAAGGCACCACAATCATGGGGAAGACTTCTGACTTAACAGCTGTCCAAAAGACAATCATTGACACCTTGCACAAGGAGGGCAAGACACAAAAGGTGATTGCTAAAGAAGCTGGCTGTTCGCAGAGCTCTGTGTCCAAGCACATTAACAGACAGGCGAAGGGACGGAAAAAATGTGGTAGAAAAAAGTGTACAAGCTCTAGGGATAACCGCACCCTGCAGAGAATTGTGACGACAAACCCATTCAAAAATGTGGGGGAGATCCACAAAGAGTGGACTGCAGCTGGAGTCAGCGCTTCAAGAACCACCACGAGGAGACTCATGAAAGACATGGGATTCAGGTGTCGCATTCCGTGTGTCAAGCCACTCTTGAACAAGAAACAGCGCAAGAAGCGTCTCGCCTGGGCCAAGGACAAAAAGGACTGGACTGATGCTGAGTGGTCCAAAGTTATGTTTTCTGATGAAAGCAAGTTCTGCATTTCCTTTGGAAATCAAGGACCCAGAGTCTGGAGGAAGAGCGGAGAAGCACAGAATCCACGTTGCATGAGGTCCAGTGTAAAGTTTCCACCGTCAGTGATGGTGTGGGGTGCCATGTCATCTGCCGGTGTTGGCCCACTCTGTTTCCTGAGGTCCAGGGTCAATGCAGCCGTCTACCAGGAAGTTTTAGAGCACTTCATGCTTCCTGCTGCTGACCAACTTTATGGGGATGCAGACTTCACCTTTCAACAGGACTTGGCACCTGCACACAGTGCCAAAACCACCAGCACCTGGTTCAAGGACCATGGTATCCCTGTCCTTGATTGGCCAGCAAACTCGCCTGACCTTAACCCCATAGAAAATCTATGGGGTATTGTGAAGCGGAGGATGCAATACGCTAGACCCAACAATGCAGAGGAGCTGAAGACAACTATCAGAGCAACCTGGGCTCTCATAACACCTGAGCAGTGCCACAGACTGATCGAGTCCATGCCACGCCGCATTACTGCAGTTATTGAGGCAAAAGGAGCCCCGACTAAGTATTGAGTGCTATACATGCACATTCTTTTCATGTTCATTCTTTTCAGTTGGCCAACATTAGAGAAACAAACATTTTTTCATTGGCCTTTAGAATATTCTAATTTTCTGAGATACCAGATTTGATGTTTTCATTGGTTGTCACCTATAAATATCAAATTTAAATGTAATGAACATTGGAAATACATTGGTCTGTGTGCATTGCATGAATATAATGTACAAGTTTCACGTTTTGAATGGAATTACTGAAATATTTTCAACCTTTTGATGATATTCTAATTTACTGGCCAGCACCTGTATGTAATTATGGGGTGTAGTTGATTGTCTTTACCATTCTGAGTTTAGGCGAGACCAGGTTGGCGTTCTCCACAGCAGCGTAGAAGGCCAGAATGCCGTAGGGTCCCCAGCAGAACAGTAGAGTCTTAAGAGGAGTGTTGGGGTTGAACTACAGAAAGGAAAACAAAACAGAAAGAAGGGAGACAAGAACACGTGGAAATGAGTGAAAAGTAGGTCAGAACAAGACTGATTTGTTAGCCATCATCTGTAAAAAAAAAAGGCTTTGTCATGAGGTTTTCCCCCTGCAGGCACATCACATGCCTGGGATAATGTCTGAGAGACTAAATGATTGTGTTTAGATCCTTTTTTACTGAGATGGAAAAAAAGAAAAAGTGAGTGAATGAAAATCTTAGAGTCCTAGAATCAGTACAGATATTATTCAAAGTTGCAGTGTGCTCATGCAGACTAACACGTCCCCGCTTACGCTTAAAGCATGCCGTTTGAAACATTTCAACAAAGCTCTCTGAATTTGAAATAAATCTGGCTTCAAGGGATGAAATTTAATCTCTATAAATGACAGATTGAGGCACCAAATATGACATTGATAAAATGCTTATTTAATGAATGAACAGTGTGAAACAAAAAAAGAGACTTTTGAGGTAAACCCTTGTGTGGTGGAAAACACTTTGCAACAACAGTGTTTGCAGCCAGCTCAGATGACTGTGAGTAATGAGCTTATGCAACAAAACACAAGGCCATTTGATTCAATTCCCTCAGAAGTCTACTGAACCGGCTCTTTGCAGATTCATTGTTTCGGTGGCTACAAAACCAGCTACAGCCTGTCTGCGTTCTCAACTCAAACGCTCAGTCGTGGAAATGACCTACATCTGTCACAGCAAGCACACTTCTTATCATCTGTTTGTCTTTGATAAATAACATTCATGTAAGAGAGCTCTTCCTTCACTAAAATTCCTCTGATTTCCGCCAGTGAGTGACTTCAAAGCACAAAGAATCTCTGCACTGTTTTTTGGACTTGAATGTACTTTTTGAAAAGTTCAGGTGTTTTTTAGATTTTGGAACTTCATGTTTGATTTATTTTAGTTAAACTCAAACTCTCTTATTTCATGGAGCTTGGAACAGATCTCCCTGCAAGGGTCAGATCTCTCAAAACAAACTCCTTGCTGTCATGCTGGTTCTTGCTTATTTGCTTCTGTATTGTTCCAATTCAGTAGTTTTTTTCCTTTAGAGGTCTCCCAAAGTTTTATTTATTTTTACAATATTGGGATCGACAGGGGACATCTACTTTTTCATACAAAGTGTTATACTTTTTGTAAAACTGACAGAAAATAATGCTTTCCAAATTTCATTGACAACAGGTTAAACCGTCAGGTACTCATCTTGGTGTCTTCCAACTGCATCTTGGTTACAGTTTGATTTTATGTACTGTGTCTCTGAGTTGTACAATGAGCATTTGCTGCTTATTTTGAAAACTTAGTTTTGTTCTTATTGAGCTGTGTTGTTCAACCATTGTGTATCCAACTGGTTTTGTTAATTCAGTCTTCTGATGATGTGCTCGACCTCCTTAGGAAGGTTTCTGTTCAGTCACTAAGAGGTGTAGGTTACTGAACATCCTTAAGATGAATTTAAGCTCCACATGACTTGACCTTGTAGAAACATTTTACAGAAATATGTTAAATAAAAAATAAACATTTGAATGTTCAAATGATTGGAATCTATTGGTGCTAACTAGCAGATAGAGTTGCAATGTTAACTGCAGATGTGCACAATTTAAATTACCGGTACTATGTTGACATTAATTTGGTATACTAACACAGTTACTGCTAGATTTGTTTTACACACAAACACTTATGTGAATTTGAGTTACTGCAACCTATGGTTGAAAATTGTTGTGAAACTTGATGTTACTAGCACATACACTGGAATTAGAGTAAACCAGTAATACAAACTGTAACAATACAAAAAAAATATTTTATTGCCACTTACACTTGAGTTAGAATAAATAAGGATTGACAGTTTTACAATTTAGAAATTTAAGTCTCTACAACTTGGAGTAGAGTTAGCATATAACAGGATTAAACATTTTCACAATTTAAAAATGTAAGTCTGTACAGCTATTACTTGAGTTGGGTAGACTTAAATTTGAAAGTTGCGCTAACTCAATAGTAAAACTTAAAAGTTTAATAACGTAACGTAAAAATTAGCTGAAGTTTGTTGCCTTACAATTTTAAGTTCTCCTAACTTTTCTGTTTTTTTTTTACAGTGCAGCTTGATGAAAAATACTGCCGTAAAACGCCTAACCATGGTGTAAAGGATAGAGTTTCATTTAAGACGATAGACATTTTCTATCGTACAGATGAACTATTTAGTCATATTGCCCAGTAGGAATGAATACCTTGTAAGTCGTAATCGGAGTGAAATAAGCCCAGAGGCATCTGTTTCAGGAAGTACAAGTCAGCTGGACATGAAAGTAGCTTTAGACGGTGGATTTTGGAGTCTTATTTCCTGATATTTGGACATCTCGCTTCTGATTGGCTAACAACAATGCAACTGACCACTGACACCATTTGTGTGGTCTCCACAAATGACACAAACCTGCAGAAGTTCTGCTGTGAGGTGTAATTACTAATGCTAATGGTCTGTTTTTTCTAGTTGAAATTCCTGAACGCTAAACCAACAACAACCTTCCCCATTGCAAGCCAAGATGGGGGAGTCCATGAATGTTAAGTGACAGTGTGATGTAGATCTGTCACGCTTTTCTAATCTCAGAGTTTCACCGTCTATTGCCTATCAGAAGCTAATGCAGGAGATACGTGTAGGAGACTATTTTCATGTTCAGACTACATGAAAGACTCAGAGTGACCGATTATATTAAGAAACAACAATTAGAAAATATTTTTCAGTGTTCCACACCTTTAAACGACATTGATGAATAGTAGCTAACTATGTTACTTACCTTGGGGTTTCCAGTCTTTTTGAATTTCTGTGCAATGGACTGGTAGGAGGACATGACAACAAACACTTGAATGCCCATGTTGAAAATGCTCATCGGGATCAAGTAGGACACGTAGTTTCTGTTAAAAGAGAAACACAAAACAATAATCTGGGGTTACCTTTAAGCTAGATCCAAGCACATTAACAATCTTTCATCTTATTTTTTAGAATCATAACAGCTTACAACCTCAGCTGATTCTGAATTGGTCTTCAAAAATAAATCAACAAGTTCAGAGCATACTGAGGCGTCTTTCCAGCACCTGTCTCCCTTGCTGTAGTCCAATGTGCAGCAGGTCCTGAGAGGCTCGTAGTCATACTCCCCCCAGCCAATGAGGGGCATCGCTGCCCAGAAAGCAGAAAACATCCAGACAAAAACGACCAGACTGATGGCGCTGCTCCACCGCAGCTTTGTCCCTTGAATGAAAAACATAAATTATGATGGATTTTTACACCTTTTAAAACATGACTGCTAGAGTTGTTGACACTTTGTAATGCCATGCAACAGCTTTAATCCCACTCTTTAAAAAACCCATAAAAAATATGTGTCCCCGATTACAATATGGCAGCGTGATTAGATGGTGCCTATAGTTCAAAAGCTGCAGCTTTTTATACTTAATTGCTACTAAAATAACACAGGAAGTGTTTGTTTGTCTCATTGCATAAATAATCCTCAAAATTGATGTTTTTATTAAAGACTTCCTGCTCAATCCAGAGATTAGATTGCATTTGTTATTGTAGGAGGATCTTGTGGCCCCAGCATGTCATGGTAAACACCACAAAGGAGAGAATGCACATGTTCTATTGTGCATTACCTCAGGGTGTCATCTTACTAGTGCAATACTGGTGATATCTGTCCCAAGCAATGGCTGCAATGAAGTTGAGGCTGGCAAGAGCTGTCATAAACCCCTGGAAGCCATGAGTTTGGCACCCATCTGAGCCGTAGGGCCAGTACCTGCAACAAGATGTGCAAAAGTATTCATTTTACTAATTAAACTTCACTAAAATGACATAAAAAGTATTTTATTTTTGTAAAATTAAAAATAAAATGCAAACAATGTGCATATTGAAATGTTATTTTTTTTATTTTGAAGTTCTGTTTTCCCAGTAACACTTTACAAAAAGGGTCCCTTTATTATCCTTAGTTATTGCATTGTTAAGCATTAATAAACAACGCATCCCTTTACCGTTATTGTGAAGTTTGGAGTGTCCATAAGGTGTGTGTGTGTGTGTGTGTGTGGGGGGGGGGGGGGGGGTGGGGGGGGGGGTGGGGTGGGGGGGTGGGGGGGGGGTGGGGGGTTCCCGGTAATGCATTACATAATATGGTTAAGCCAGGGACGAAATTTTGATTTCAGAAGTGGGGGGGACACAGCAGGCTTGTGCGGATTTGGGGTGGGGGGTGTTATGTAAAGACCCCTTGACACGTCACGTGCCCATCTCAATAATTTTCCATCCTCAATATATATATATATATATATATATATATATATATATATATATATATATATATATATATATATATATACAGTTGTGGTCAGAAGTTTACATACACTTGTAAAAAATATAATATAATGGCTCTACTGAGTGTCCCGTTACTTCTAAAACTCTGATTTTTCTCTGATAGAGTGAATGGAACAGATACTTCTTTGTCACAAAAAACATTCATGAAGTTTGGTTCTTTAATGTCTTTATTATGGGTTAGCAGAGAAAAGTGATCACATTTGCTGGGTCACAAACATACATACAGCAACATGATCTAGCAATTTTGGTGACTTAGAAATGTGTCAGTGAACTGAGCTTCATAGCATGGCCTCTTAACTTCTTGTGAGTGATTATGAGTGACTACAGCGGGTGACTTCTCTTAGGCCAGGTAAATAGGGCTCATTGGATACAAACGCCCACAAACGCTACAATGGGAAAGTCAAAGGAGCTCAGCATGGATCTGAAAAAGCGAATTATTGACTTGAACAAGTCAGGAAAGTCACTTGGGGCCATTTCAAAGCAGCTGCAGGTCCCAAGAGCAACAGTGCAAACAATTGTTTGTAAGTATAAGGTGCATGGCACTGTTTCATCACTGCCAAGATCAGGAAGAAAACGCAAGCTATCACCTGCTGCTGAGAGAAAATTGGTCAGGAGGGTAAAGAGTGAACCAAGAATCACAAAAAAGCAGATCTGCCAAGAATTAGAAGCTGCTGGAACACAGGTGTCATTGTCCACAGTCAAACGTGTTTTGCATCTCCATGGACTGAGAGGCTGCCGTGCAAGAAGGAAGCCCTTGCTCCAAAAGCGGCACCTTAAGGCTCGACTGAAGTTTGCTGCTGATCACATGGACAAAGATAAGACCTTCTGGAGGAAAGTTCTGTGGTCAGATGAAACAAAAATTGAGCTTTTTGGCCACAATGCCCAGCAATATGTTTGGAGGAGAAAAGGTGAGGCCTTTAACCCCAAGAACACCATGCCTACAGTCAAGCATGGTGGTGGGATTATTATGCTGTGGGGCTGTTTTGCTGCCAATGGAACTGGTGCTTTACAGAGAGTAAATGGGATAATGAAGAAGGAGGATTACCTTCACATTCTTCAACATAACCTAAAATCATCAGCACGAAGGTTGGGTCTTGGGCGCAGTTGGGTGTTCCAACAGGACAATGACCCCAAACACACATCAAAAGTGGTAAAGGAATGGCTAAATCAGGATAGAATAAGGGTTTTAGAATGGCCTTCCCAAAGTCCTGACTTAAACCCCATTGAAAACATGTGGACAGTGCTGAAGAAACAAGTCCATGTCAGAAAGCCATCAAATTTAACTGAACTTCACCAATTCTGTCAAGAGGAGTGGTCAAAGATTCAACCAGAAGCTTGCCAGAAGCTTGTGGATGGCTACCAAAAGCGCCTAATTGAAGTGAAAATGGCTAAGGGACATGTAACCAAATATTAGCACTGCTGTATGTATATTTGTGACCCAGCAAATGTGATCACTTTTCTCTGTTAACCCATAATAAAGACATTAAAGAACCGAACTTCATGAATGTTTTTTGTGACAAAGAAGTATCTGTTCCAATCACTCTATCAGAGAAAAATCAGAGTTTTAGAAATAACGGGACACTCAGTAGAGCCATTATATTATATTTTTTACAAGTGTATGTAAACTTCTGACCACAACTGTATATATATATATATATATATATATATATATATATATATATATATATATGTATAAAAGTTAAAAAATGTACAACTCTATTATTATTTTTATTTATTATCATTATTGAAGTGCAGTTTTGGCTGTTGACAATGGATAGGTCATTGTATTTATTGTTTTGGGTCTTTTTTTTATTGTTTTTGGTGCAACATTTTCTAACAGGGAGTGAGATTCCTTTTTTATTTAATTTTTGTTTGTTATTTTTATTCATTTAGAAGTTCTGGTTCTGGACATTTCAATGTTAAATTAAGGTTTATTTGTTGCATTTTAAAGGGTGTACTTGCATTATTATGATATATTAACATTATATTAGTGGTTATTTTGGTCTAGATAATGTTGACAATGATATCGTTTATCATCAACAATTTGTTGGACAAAATATCGTCCAGCAAAATGTGTTACTTTCCCAGGCCTAGTCAAAAGTATAAAAATTATTTATACATAAACGGTCCTCCTGAGATCTGGCCGTTTGTTCATTTGCTGTGTTAGAGGACATGCTGAACTAATGTTTTACACATGATCATCACCCTAACATTTGAGTGTATAAAAACATATTAAATATGTTTTTTCCCTTAAAAGTGTTTAAACAGTTGTTGCATTTCAACACACGAAAAATAAATGGAAAAAATAAGATAAATCTAATGAAAAGTGTACATCTTTGACATTAAGCTTAAAAAAATCTGTTGACGATGATGATACTGTTCATTTTTCAGAGCTTTTTAATGTGAAAATATACATTGCAATAGATAAGTTTACAATAAAGTTAAATGATAAAAGTTTTGAAGTTACACTTCTACTACTACTACTACTAGTAATAATAATTATGATGATAATAGTAATAATAAAAAAAATAATTATAATAATACGAATAAATTGTGTCTGAGGAGTCAGTTATGTGGAGGAGATGAGTTTGTAAAAGTTAGTTTTGAGTATGTGTGTGAAGGAGGAGGTGAGTCTGAGCTTAATGCAGGGGTGTCACATGTTCCAACTTACGTTTTGACTTTGAAAGAAGTCTCTTATATCCACTTTTCGTTTTCTTGACATGCTGCCTCCTGGCTGTGCCTAACTACCAAAGACTCACAAATGAACACTTATTCAAATGTTATGTAATGAAAGCTGAGCTGAGCTCTGATATTACACAGCGTCTAGTTGACGATGTGACTCAGTACCGGTGTTCCCTAGCGGCTCCAAACTAGCAAAACAACGTGAGCACGTTCTGACTGTTTACAACTTGAGTGACAGCAGCAACAGCCAATAATACGTTAGCAAGTATCAGCAGAGCCAATAGATTAGCTTTTGGGCGGGTCTAATAGGAAACCGGTTTCCGTTTCGGTCCTAGTGCTCAACCATATCCATTTAATGGAGCGTAACATTGTTTTCGGACAGAAAAAAGTGCAGGGGACCAAAACTGCCTTTTGAAAAAGTGGGGGGGACATGTCCCACCCGTCCCCCCCCCAAATTACGTCCCAGGGTTAAACTGTTATCCAACTTCATTTAATAGTTTATTAATGTTTAATAATGCACTAAGTAATGCTAATAAAGGGGGCCTTATTGTCAAGTGTCACCAAAATCCCCTTTTGACTCTGTGATGATGAGCTATTATCATGCAGCTCAACATCATTACTTTTTCATTACACCACCTTCCATTTGGCCTCAGGAGGCTAAACCTTTACATTGTGAAAGCTGCGGTTGCATAACTTACCTCAGAAAGCTGGAGAACGCTGCAACGGTGGCGTTCATGGAGATGCCGATGTCAGCCATGGCTAAGCTGAACACCAGGAAATTACTGGGAGTTCTGAGCTCTCTGACTCTGAGGAAAGCAACGATCGTCACCACATTCAGGCAGATGCCCAGTAGACCTTGGGTGGGAGAAAGGAGCAAAAACGTTAAAACACCTGGCTGATATTATTTGGATTCATGCCAGTACGCACGGCGGGAGACAGCGACACACCAAGATGAAGCAAAACATCACATTGCATTCATCTTCTGCGTCCTCCCACGCCACTGGTGGAGGTTAATGTGTGACTTTATGTGGAACAGTAATAAATCCAGACGAGAAACAGCGGCATCAGTGACCGAGTAGCCTCCGCACGGCGAGAGCTCCTGGCAGAAATCCAATAAAACACTCACCCTCCACCAGCAGACACGATCCGAGGGAGAACACGTCCAACTCGGAGAAGCCCTCCGGCAGAGGAGACGACGAGGCCATACTGACGCCTTTCTTTATTATGTTTTTATTGAACGCAGCGATGGTCGAGACTTCTCACGCGTCTCTGTCTGGTCGTTTCGCGCTGTGCCTCGCTGTGATCGCGCGCTTTTAAAGAGTCATTTCACGTGAAAGCATGCAGTTCATTATATAAAGCCCCCCCTTCCGTCACCCCAATCCGCGCAAGAATGTTTTAATGAACATAACTGCACAAACCGTAACGCCTAATGCGCCTTTCCCGAGCCGCAACAATAAAGTCCTCAGTGAGTTACACAACAAGCCTTTGTGTGTGCGTGCGTGTGTGCGTGTGTGTGTGTGTGTGTGTGTGTGTGTGTGTGTGAGCGCGCGCGTCCCGTTGAGGATGCAGCTCTGCGTCGCTTCTTTTAGTTAACAGGTGTCTGAGAGGGCGCGGTGTTCTGCCAATCACAATGTCGTTTTCATTAAGGCTTTGATGCTGCATGAAACAGCGATTGCATCGTGTGCATATTTGCGTGCGCTGCAAAATTGCACGTATAGATTATAAAATCGATAAAGATAGCCTTCTCTTTGTTTAGTTTTTTTTCTCAGCTTGTTCTTGCCAAGAATGAGAGACAAATATGTTTCTACTACAGGACAAATCTTCTGATTAGATGTTACATAAGATTCAGAAACCTCTGTTATTTATAGAAATCCAAAGGGGCTGCTCACAACAACAGCTGAGTAATACTACATCACAAAAGAAAATCCTTTGGGATTTTCCTGAGTAGGATTGTTTCCAAAACGGTCACTGAGGTGAATTATAAAGTTAATCTTGTTTAATCGACGTTTGTGGTTACTGGGAAGACGGGAAATCAAACAAAGTGGTCAAGTTCAGAATACGTAAATTGAATGATAAAATATGAAAAGCAGATCTATTTCTTCAGTTGAATAGTTTAAATAGTAAGTGTTTAAGGATGTTCTTATTTATGCTTCATTTGTGCAGCTTTTATGTTTCTTTTTGGAATATTTGGTTTTCCGTGATTTTGGCATCAATAGACCCAGTTCCCTCTTGTTTATAACCTCCAGTTTCCCTTCTCAGGCTGCAGTTTCTGCTGTATATTGTAGCTATTTCTTAGAGTATTTTTCTTATCTCCCATCGCTTTATTTTTCACACAAAATAAATAAATAAATAATCAGCCCATGAAGTCTGTAATCTGGGTTTTCTTTAATTCACACATTTAAATCCCTGATGAGACAAATACTTCATGCTTTATTATTAAAAATCAAGAAGTTTGTGGAAAAGCGAATTGAATTTGCCTATTGCCATAAAAGCGAAAACTCAAACATTAGTTTAATATATAAGAATAATATAGGGTTAAACTGTTTAAGAGTTTGCAAAAAACAACATCCCATCAGCACCCCAGCCACGCATGCAACCTCGAGGCCACCTTGTGGTAAAACAAAGCGTTGTCAGCAGAGAACGATCATGAGAGAAATAAACAGGATTATGACCATTTCGGAAGTTTATTTTTTTCTTTTCTCTTTCCCCCCGCTGATAAATAGAGACGTCTCTGCGCAGCCTATCAGACTCAGAGATGAAATACGCATCCAGATGAAACGGCGCCAGTCTTTTCTCTAATCCTCGTCCATCCTTTTTATCTCGGGACTCACAGCAGCCTGATCACTATGGGACAGCGAAGCGGGGGGACAACGCCATGCGGAAGACGGTCCCGTAAGTGAGAGGAAATAGCTGCTCTCTTTGACTTCAGCAGGCGCAAAACTGCACGCATGTAGGCAAATTAACGTATGCGTAAAAGCGGGCCAAAATGTTCTCCGTCCTGCTGCTGGGGCTCGGTGTGGCCACATTTGAACTTTTCTCCCCAGTGAGCTCCTGCCCATCACAGTGCAGCTGCTTTTATCACAACCTGAGTGATGGATCCAAAGCCAGGTAAGGAGACTGTCCATGTTATAAAAATGTGCACCGGTGTGTGGTTTGGTTTGTGCGTAAAGGCGCACCTCAGGTCTTCCAGAAAGATGTTTCAACAGAGGTGAGCACGTGCACGATAATTCAAAAAGCTCATGTCGATCAAATTTTTTATTTAATACGGGATTACAGCTCAAATGCACTTTGGCATTCCCTTTTAGGACTTTTATAAATTCGGATGCACTGGGGATTTTTCTCTCCTGACCCATAATCCACATTATTTTTTGCTGAGTTGGACCTATTTGGTGCCTATTTCATTATTGTCCTTTAATTATTTAACATATTTAATGAATCATTGTACGGAATGTCCTCAAATTGATTTTGTAGATTTAATTAAAGACATTGTCTTGCAGGAGCGTGATATGCAACGATCCCGACATATCTCTGGTGCCTGTCGGATTTCCGGTTGACACATCCAAACTGCGGATTGAGAAGACTTCTATTCAGCTGATTCCAAGTGAGGCTTTCTTCTACCTCTCCAGTCTGGAGTTTCTGTGGATGTCCTTCAACACCCTGTCCGCTCTCAGC